GGTCGGGCCGACGTCTGGAATTGGGGGGCGAGTTGGGGCGGGGGCGGGGGCGGACATGGGGGCTCACGTGACGTCGCGACAAAGACCGGGGCGGTACAACTACAACGGCTAGCGCAATCATTCGAGCAAGAAATACCGCGCGAACCGCGCGCTCGCACGCGCTCGCGCGCATTGACCAATTCCATTGTGCAATGGCAGTTCACACATGCACGTGCGCCACTCATAATATTATTATCCATTGTCTGAGGCCCATCGTGGGCCCACTGGGCGTTCAAATATGGGCCCAACGCATTGGTGCCCATTGTGAGCCCATTGCGGGCCCGGTGGGGTCCATCGTGGGCCCGCTATATACCACTGTTTGGGGTCCATTCCACGAGACCTGGCTCGCTCTTATAAGCAATGACAGCAGTGCAAGGAAAGGGCGCAGGGGGAAGGCGGGGCGCAGGGGGGGGCATTGAGAATGGCAGGAGGAGCGAGGAGGAGGGCGGGGAGGGGGGGGGAGGGCGGAGGATGATGGGGGGGAGGAATAAGATGAGGAGGAGGAGGAGGAAGATGACGAGGGAGAAGAGGAGGAAGAGGAGGAAGGGATAAAGAAGGCAGGAAGGATGGAATGGCACGGAAGGACGAAATGAGGAGGGGCGAGGGAAGAGGAGGAGGAGGGGGAGGAGGAGGAGGAGGAGGAGGAGGAGGAACGACCGCGCCGAAGACATGAAGAGGTGCGGGTAAGCCCGATTCTGGGGTGATGAACATGGTGATTATGATGAAGATGGTGCTGATGATGATGCTGCTGCTGATGATTATGATACTGATGCTGCTGATGAAGGTGGTAGTGAGGACGGTGGTGCTGAGAATGATGATGATGATGGTGAGGGTGATGGTGATGATGATGCTGATGGCGCTTATGCGGCTGGTGATGATGGTGGCGGTGATGCTGCTGATGATGCTGATGATGATGATGGTGATGATGCTGATGATGATACTGGCGATGATGAAGATGATGACGAGGATGAGGATGCGGATGGTGATGAGGATGAGGATGGTGATGGTGATGAGGATGCGGATGAGGATGGGGATGAAGATGGTGGTGCTGCTGCTGCCGATGCTGAAAACGATGATGGGGTGATCATGATGAAGGTGATGCTAATGGTGCTGATGAAGATGCTGTTGATCGTGGTGTCGATGAGGTTGGGGTCGATGCTGATGATAATGGTGATGGCGATGATGAGGATATTGATGATTACGCTGGTGATGCTGGTGTTGATACTTTTGATGCTGACTTTGATGAGGTTGGGATTGGGATCGATAGTGATGGTGGTGATGGCGATGCTGGTGACGAAGATAATGAGGATGATGCTGCTGATGATGCTGATGGTGACGATGATGGTGATGATGGTGCTGATGATAGTGGTGCTGCTGATGATGGTGATGGTGAACATTGGACCCACGCCAATCTGACGTTTGACAAACGTCAGACTGACGTTTTCCAATCGTCAGACTCACAATTTTGAAAATATGGGGAGCGGTCGCATCAAACATGGGGAGCGCTGAGGCTCAAAATGTAGGGAGCGTCAGCAATCACTGGAGCTCCGCTGGCGCCGTAAAGGAGGCGCGTATCGTGCGCAATCACCTCGATGGCGCCCCATTTTGGAACGCAGATTCCATAGATGGGGAGCTCCCGGTTCTCAACATCCGCGCCCTTCTTTTTGGGGCGCGGGGTCTCTGGGTTTGGGCGCGGCGCCCCTGGCCGCCGCGGCATCCGCGTCGAGGCGCCCCTTTGTCCAGCGCGCTGACGCGCGGCCGCTCTGGCAGCGGCGCCGGGGGTTCCCGCGGATCTGCGCGCGTCTACTCGCGGGGAAGTGCGCCGCCAAGCAGTTCGGCGATCCCGTGGCACGCGCACATGAAACCGGATACCAACTTCAAGGGTGCTCCAGCCTCGCTAACCGCGCGCGCGCGCGCCCGCGGTGACCTCGGTGCGCCACGCGGTCTAGGCCCCGCCCACCTGCCCACTGCAGCGCCGCAGCTCGCCGTCTGGCCACTGCGAGCCCCCGCCTGGCCCGGGCCAGCAGCGGGTCAGTGGGGTGTTCGCATGCGCCATCGCCCCATGCCCGCCCCCCCGCCTGCCCTGGGCCGACTCCCAGGCGCGGCAGCGGGGGCTCGCGGCCGTTGCAGCGGCCGGGCGCGCGCCCGCGTCCTGGGGCGCGAGGCCCGGGCGGGCAGGCACGCCAGCGGGGCGGCCTCGCTCAAGCCACCAGCCCGCAACTCGGCGCGGCGGACCGCGCCCCACTTGGGGCACTTCCTCGCGCGTCTCCTCCGAAGCGCCGCGGCGCGGGCAGCGCGAGGGCCGGCCCCGGTTGGCCTGCCGTCTCGGCGACGACGTCGCCCTTGAGCACTGTGCGCAGGGCGTCGGCCGCTTCCGGCGCGAGCTCCTCGCGCTCCAGCAGACGCCGGGTAGCCCAGCGGTCAGCCCCGCCCACGACGCGCCCGAGGTCAGCGCGCCGCCCCGCCACCGCGCGGGCTTCGCGCCGCGCCCAGGCGTCCAGCAGCGCCGCGCTGGCGTCTTGAAGCGGGCGGTCGCGAGGGCGCCAGCCGCCCGGGTCCCAAGGCACGCCCTGCCAGCACTCGATATCGCCACCGAAGCCGAGGCCGGCCACGCTCCGCAGGGCGGCCGCGGGGGGCCCTCCTGGCGGCCGTTGCCGGCGCCACTGCTCCTGCCATCTCGCGCCAAAGCACGAGCGGCAAACGCTGGCAGTACCTTCGCCGCCTGCCGCAGCGAGGCGAAGGCAACGACCGCCGCAGGGTCGAGGCGACAGCTCGGGCTGAACACGCCGAAAACGATCTCGGCAACAGCCCGCAACCCGCCCCGGCAGACGGACGTGCGGCCGACGACCGCAAGCTTGCAAGCTGGCCAGCTCGCTCTCGGGGGGCAGGCCGCACGAGGCGCCATGCATGCCGCATGCCGGCAAACGTGACGCAGGCCGCGCCGAGCAGGCAGCGCGGCCGGAAGCCCACCGGCAGCCACGCGACCCGGGCGAACCGCCTCGCCGCCACCCGAGCACGCGTGCCCGTCACCGCGCAGCGGCGAGCACTCCCTGCGGTGGAAGCCACGCCGAGATCACGGATGCCGCAGCCAGCAGCAAGCCTTGGGGTCTCCGCGTGAAGCCAGCGGTGGAGACCAGCGGTGTTCGCTACACTCCACACAAACCAGACAAACGCCAAACACGCCTTGACACACGCCAAACCGGACACACGACAGACACACGCCAAAAACGCGCCAGACACGCCCGACAAACGCCAGACATACCCCAAACACCGCCTGGCACACGCCAAACACATGTCAGACACACGGCTGACACACGTCAGACACACGCCAAACACATCCAGACACACCCCGATAGACCCCGGAATGACGACGATGACGACGACGACGACGACGAGGACTGCGTGAGTGAGCGGCGGCCCAACTCCGCCAACTCCGCCGCCGCCGACTCCGAGTCTGACGACGATGACCCTCCGACCGACCGTACTTGTCTGCCCGACCTTCTGCACCCTACGGCCGAAATATCGGAGGCGGAATGCCATCAAGGTCTACATTGGCTTGTTACAGCAAGTGAGCCAGTGTAGACACGTGCGAACGGATGTGTCTACGCCACTGTGACTGCGCCATGCTCTTCCTCTAAAACAAACTCTTTCGACGTACGTTGGCGAATAGCTTGGACCGCATCCTGGCCTGGCAAGTGTATGCCGTACAGGTATGGTTGCTGTCCGTGGGGCCAGTGAGATATTGTAGTGTACGCTCGCACATAACAGTGGAGTGTGGACACATCTCGAGTTGGGTATTTTCGAATAGCGCAAACTTGTTTGGGGGACCACGGGCAAGACACACCCCAGACATATCCAGAAAGACACAGATACACCCCAAATACACCAAACATACCCTGACACGCACACCTCAAGCATCCCAGACACACGCGAGACACACGCAAGACACACGCGAGACACACGCCAGACGCACGCCAGACACACGCCAGACGCACGCCGGACATACGCCAGAGACGCGCCAGACACACGCCAGACACACGCCAAACACACGCCAGGCATACGCCAAACACAGGCCAGGCACACCCCGAACACAACCCAAGCACACCCAGACGCACCACAAACATACCCCCAGACACGCCCAGACACTCCGTGACAAACGCCCGACACACCCAGACACATCCCGACATAACAACGACGACGACGAGGACTTAGACGACTCCGACTGCAACGACTCCATCTCGAACTCCCGCGACTCTGATTCCGACGCCGACTGCGACGACTCCGACTCCCAAAGTGGCCAGGAAGGCGTTGATGTAACTGTCTGCGCCCTCTCTCATCATTCCCTTCCTCCCTCATGTGTCCCTCGTCCTCCGTCCTCATGTTCCTCTCCCTCTGTCCTATCGCTCTCTCACCCCTCCCTCCTGCTGCATCTCTGTATCTCCTTCTCAAATATTCCGCCATCCACCCCTCGTCCATCCTCAACTCCCCATCCCACCCCCTTAACCCGTTGTCCATCCTCTGCTGCCCCTGTCCTCTTACCTCCCTGAACCTCCACTTTCTTGTTCCTTCCTCCTTCTGTCACCCCATGGGTCCCCTACCTCACACGGAGGCTACAAGGGAGGAGGCCCGTGGGGGTCTTACTTTGGGCCCAAGCTGCCCAACCAGCGGTTTATCACCTTCAGAACCCCAACGGTGGCAGGACTCCACCTCCTCCTGCTCCTCAACCCTCCTCCTGCTCTTCCCAGTGGACTCCACCCCCTCTCCCATCCTGCTCCTCGCCACGCCCGTGCTCTTGCAGCTCCCACTGCTGCTGCCAGCTGCTGCTGTTGCTGCTGTGTTGTTGCTCCTCCTCCTCCTCCTCCTCCTCCTCCTCCTCCTCCTCGTCCACCTCCCCCTCCGCCTCCTCCTCCTCCCCCTGCCTACGAACCTGGGGCTGTGGAGACGCAACGGCGAAAACCCGCCTCCAGGCCCTGCGAGGAGCCCTCCAGCGCTGGTGCTGGCACGTACTGCAGCGGAATCGGGTCCGTCACCAGTTGTGCCTGCGGCTGTCACGGCTGCCAAGCAGAAAACAATCGCGGAAACCGCCGGAATATGCAAGCAAACGCTCCCGAGGATTACTCAGAAAATTCTGCTGTAGGAGAGGTCAATCTCTTCAACTGGCGGTTTACGGGTGGCTTGCAGGCCCTTTTTCTTGCCTGAGGTCTGGATCCCTGGTGAACGGGGGAGGATGGGGGAATCAGGAGGTAGGCGAAAGGATCGAGGATGGAGGAATAAAGGGTGACAAAGGGAGAAACAAGAGGATAATGACAGGAAGAGTAAGTGCGTGAGTGACTGAGGAGGAGGAGGAGGAGGAGGAGGAGGAGGAGGAGGAGGAGGAGATGGAGGAGGAGAAGGAGGAGGAGGAGGAGGAGGAGATGGATGGCGGGAGGGCATAAAGAGGGTAGAGGATGAATCACGGATGCGGGGAGAAGTATGGGACAGCCATGAGCCACGAATGATGAGGGAAGAGATGTGAGCCACGAAGTGCAATGAATCAGTGGGGTAGAACAAAGAGGAAGAGGAGGAATAGGAGGACGCGGGCTGTCATTGTGATATTGATCCGTGGGATGAGAGGCGGGAGTGGAAAGGGAAAATCGTGGAGAAGAACGACGACATGAAGAGAAATGTAATCGTAGAAAAGGGGCTCGAAAGAAGGGCCACCTTCGTTCCCACACCGCTCTCCTCTTCTTGCTTCTTATTGCCTCATCTTTCCTCCCCTTCCTCCTCTCCCGTCTTTTCCGCACTCCACCATCTCTTCGACTTCCCCATCCTGCTGCTCCTTCCCGCTTGAGACGACGGGGGGGAGGGAGGATGGCGAAAAGGATGATGGGGTAGGGGTGCGAAGAAAAGGTTCTATAATGGCACGTCAGAGCAAATATAGCGGGAGTCACATTGCGCAGAACTTGCAATGGATGCCACAAGTGCAACGATGACGTCAGTGTGAACAGTCTGTTCAATGAACGATTTTCGGTCGGCAGTCCTGGTCACCTCCACTTACTGAAAACATACTTCAAACCGACGCAGCTTGCGGTCGCGGTTGCGGCACAACGTGCCCAGTATGACGGGATGAGACGACCGATGCGCGCAAGTGAGACCAACTCGCAGATTGCGAGTGTCTTATTGACGCATGCGACTGCACACGTGCGTTTGTGCAAACAAGATGCGCGTTGTCCTATTGCACTCAAGAAACAATTTCACCGACAACACGGCAATCGTTTGTTTCCCCCAACCATCCGGTGGTCCCCGCGATTCCCCCCGGATCCTTCCTCCCTCCTCCTTGCCCTTCTCCCTCCTCGTCCTCCTCTTTCCCCCTTGCATTACACCCACCCAGTACACCGCTTCGTGGCCCCATAGGAGTTCCACATGAGGTTTCAGTTCTACCGCCCGCATGCGCCCCCCCCCCCCCCACCCAATGCAGCGCTTCGTGGCCCCATAGGGAGCTCCACCGACGGCCCCAGCGTTACCGCCCACATGCATCCCCCAAGCCAGTACTGCGCGTCGTGGCCCCATTGGGAGCCCCACCGATGGCCCCAGTGCTACCGCCCGCATGCGTCCCTCCCACCCAGTACAGCGCTTCGTGGCCCCATCGGGAGCTCAACCGAAAGCCCCAATGCTACCGCCAGCATCCGTCCCCCCCCCCCAAACACAATGCAACGTTTCGTGGCCCCGTAGGAATTCCACAAAAGGTTCCAGTTTTACCGCCCGCGTGCGGCCCCCCACCCAATGCAGCGCTTCGTGGCCCCATAGGGAGCTCCACCGACGGCCCCAGCGTTACCGCCCACATGCATCCCCCAAGCCAGTACAGCGTTTCGTGGCAACATAGGGAGCTCCACCGACGGCCCCTATGCTACCGCCCGCATGCGTTCCCCCCACCCAATACAGCGCTTCGTGGCCCCGTAGGGAACTCCACCGGAGGTCCCAGCGCCACCGCCCGCATTATCCCCCCAATACAGCGCTTCGTGGCCCCGTTGGGGGCTCCACCGAAGGCCCTAGAGTTACCGCCCGCATGCGCCCCCCCACCTAGTACAGCGTTTCGTTGCCCCAAAGGAAGCTCCACCGAAGGCCCCAGTGCTACCGCCCGCATGCCTCCCCCCCACCCAATACAGCGCTTCGTGGCAACATAAGGAGCTCCACCGACGGCCCTCAAGTTACCGCCCGCATGCGCCCACCCCCGCCCCACCCAGCACAGCGCTTCGCGGCCCCATAAGGAACTCCACCGAAGGCCCTAGAGTTATGGAAAACGCGTCCTCCTACAAGGCACTTATGAGCCAAAATGGTCATTCACGTAAGAAATACATGTTTAATACGTTCGCCACATACACGTTAAGTAGCGTTCGTGAAACACATACGTTTTCTATCACGCCGTTGAATGCGATGCATTATTGTGAACTCATGCGCAGCACGTCGCAAACCACCGGCCGTTTTTTGCGATGACGCGGAGAACACTGATGATCACGATGATGACGAGGAGGATGACTACGACGATAACAGGCGAACGATCCGCCCGATGGAATCCTTGGAGTGCGAAGTGTCTGGGGGCCCCCCTCGGTTCCGATGGGGGCTCTGAGGGGGGGGGGCCTTTTGGAGGAGGGCTGCCACGGAGGGGCTTCTAGAGGGCTTGCGAAAGCTTCTGGGACATCTCGGCAGGCTTCCAGGTAGGCTTCTGCGAGAGGGGGGCGGCGTCTGGGCGGGCCTCTACAGGGTTCCTAAGGGCCGCTTCTAGGTGGGCTTCTTGAAGGATTGCCTTGGGGCTTCGCGGATGGCTTCTAGGTCCTGTAGGCTTCTCGGAAGGTGTCTAGGTGGGCTTCTCCGTGGGCTTCTGGGGGGGCGTCTTGGGGGTTCTTGGAATGCGTCCAGGGTGCGTCTTGGAGGGCGTCTGGGGGAGCTTCGAGGAGGGCGCGCGCGAGCGCGCGCGCGCGCGTCTTCGCCCCTCAGCCGCGCTGCCATCCATCCTCATGTCATAGCCATTTTGGCGTCAGGGCGACACATGCCCTGGGACTCCATGCTGAGTGCTCTTGATAACGAAGAAAATGCAGAACACACGGGATGGTCTCGAGTGCCGTTGGCTGCTGGACCAGACAGCCAGGCAGATGTGATTGAGATTGAGCCTGTCGGGGCCGGCGACGCCCGCGCTGACTCCCCGGCCCTTGCCGCATTGCCGCCTGCAGTGGCAGCCCCAGATGTACCGACAGTCCAGGCCTCAGCTGGCTCGTCACATTCTCGACATGGGCTGCCGAGAGAAGTGTTTGCACCGTTCGCCCGCCGCAGCGCATGGCGAAAATCTGTCAAGAACCTGCGGCGTCACGTCTTCGGCCACAGACTGGAAACGATACCCTCCGCATCAATGTGAAGATCCTAATTTGGTTGCAAGCCGTTTCTCGTGCTACTGGTGAAGTATATTTCAATGATGTGGCGGCCACAAACCCACGGTTCGACGATATCGCTAGTGTGTATTCTCGGTCTCAACGAGTTGTCTGCACCGATGCGGACGGAGCAGTAGAACGAGCTGAGCGTGGGACCGCGCAGAACCTTGCATCTGTGAGGATTCAGTGCGAGGTGCACCGCGCCAGCGGCTTCGCGAAGAAAACCTTTGAGCCTATGGGGCCGACGGTTAGTGCCAGCATCAACTTTCGCCTGACTCTCTCCAGCGCGACGTCGATGCAGGGCTTGCGGGAAAGCATCAGGCGTGTTCTCTCAGATGGTCGGTTCGAGTATGTGCGCGGTCGCCCAGAGGGGCACCACAGAAGATGGAATCAATCATTTCTCGATTTGTTCTGCGGGCCTACTAGCGCCTAGAATATTCACTGCCGAGGTGCCCTCCTCAGTTCTTTCAACTACACATGGGACCAACCTCAAACGCGCCACGTCTGCAACGGGTGCTGCACGGGCCCAGAGGACGCTTTGAACAAAAAACTTGCGCGTTGGTGTGTTCCATGGTGGTAGGAAGCGAACCTCCGACCTGGCCTCGCCACAAATGGTTGGGCGCATCCAAGTCGGTCGGCTACATCGGCCTGGCGCTGTCGATCCATCCACCTTTGTTCAAGGACGCGTACTTGAGATGTGCGAGTTCGGAGCCAGGTGGCGGCTCTTTGTTGACAGGGCTGGGCAGATGCGGGATGTGCAGTGGGAATCCCAGGTCCAGCTTGGCCCCGCATGCAAGCGAGATCAGAGATGGCCTCGCCGGGAAGCTCAAGAAACACCGTGGCTGGCATTGCAGCTCAGACGTCTGCCACAAACATTCCGGTCATTGAAGATCGACATCCCGGGACGGAGGACCTGGAAAAGGCAAGCGTTCGGAAAAACAAGGTATATCGTGCCACGTTTTCGAAGTATATTTCAAATGATTTGTCTTGGGCCATCCTCTGCCAGGGATGGTTCTACAGAAACGCATATTAGCGCCCTTCGAGAAGATTTTGGTTGATTGCATAGATGCTTCGAGCGAGGCTTGGAAACAACGTCAACTTCACTTGGCAGCTGCAGGGGCACCTCGGGAGCATGCAGTCCTCGAGCAAGCCTTGCACAAGACGACGCAGCCAGCCCAGGCGGAGATCAGCAAGCTCTTTACCAACAGCGACAGGTGGGGCATCATAAATAGCTCGCGTTTCGGATTCCTGTTGCGACGGTTTGGTTTTGCTAGATATGGCGTCCACAAAGGTCCGTTCACGTTTTTTTTGCGGCGTTCTCCTTTGAGCCGTTCCCCCACGTCCCGAGGAGCAAGGGTGACGCGTGGCGCTGTTGGTGGGGTTCCCCAATTTGAAGAGGACGCACGAGAATTACCCATTCAACACTTTCCTGATTTTGGATTCGGCCGATCGTGAATCGGGGGTGTGCAATGAAAAGGAATGCAGGCTCGACGAATGGACGTTGGCATACCTGAGGCAGTATCGCACCAAGCTGGAGAAGGACCCAAGGGACATTACTGCAATCGCCGACCTGATCAGCACAGCCGTGGATGCTGATGTGGAGTCAGTTGCAGTGGATGTGGGGAAATACGGCAGTTAGGAGAAGTCTTGGTCAACTTTCGCAACACTGCAGGACTAACAGGTTGGGGCAGGCATCTGCCCGATGAATTCTGGGAACGATCAAGAAGCTGATGTATCTGTACACCGAGGCAGGCGCGCGAGCAACCATCAGACTCGAGCGCAGCACCAACTGCCCCACAGACAAGAAGAGCTAAACTAAGAAGAAGAGAACGCGCGGTGGAGGAGGCCTTTGGAGAGAACATGTCAAGAGTACGAGGGGGACAACGGGGAGACCTTGTCTAATAACACGGACGATATCATTCTGGCGTCTTTCTGCTGCTGACAAGGCAACTCTCAGACGACCTGCAAAGGTCGCGACCCGTCGACACCGTGAAGGGAATCCACTACAGACAACCAGACAGATTGCGCGCCAGCTTGCACGACCGAGGCTTCAAAGGACAGCCGATGCTATCCGCTCGGCAATCTTGAATGGTGGGCGCGGCAAGGCAACAGATGCGTTGCGAAGGTTTCATCCCGATGGCTCCAACTGGAAGTTGTCCTAGGGGTTACCGAGGGCTCATGGCAAGGCCGCAAGTCCATCGATGGCGACGTTGCCAAGCCCGATGGCTTTGCGTCGGTCATCGCAGGCCGTGCGCACGCATCGACGCATCCACGTATGTCAGAATTCGTAGCGTTGCCAGAGTCCTTCAAGTTTGCAGATGGTTGTACGCTTCGCCATGCATCCTGGCATCCAATGGACTTGTCTCGTCGCGTCGTACACGCCTTGTCTATCCAAGGTAGCGAGCCCACCGCCGTGAAGCTTCGAAGCTATCCGAAAAACGTAGCCACGGTGGCACACAGCAGTACATCATGATCCAACTGTTGTTCTTCCATCTTTCGATTATGTGCGACGGCCTTGCTGGGAGGCTGGCTTGTGCGTTTGCTTCCCCGAAGGTGGCTTGGCACTCCGATTGAGGCAATCATTCTGGAAAGTTGTTCGGTCTGTTTGCAGGACGCACTCTGAGGAGAGAGGCGCGCTTAAGTTCGCAGAGCTTTGCGCATTGTTTCTAAGAGATCGGCGAGATGATCCAATCGACGGAGGTGGAGTCGAAGACATCCCGTATTCAGTATGCGAAATTCTGCGGCGCCAGAAAGGGTGATATTGACATGGCCAAGAGGACGCGCGCTTTCACTTTCATGGGCCTGGGGTGCCCCGACATGGACGGCTTCATCGGCGGCCAAATGCATCAAGGCGACGTGCGGCGCACCGTGAATATCTCGGCGTGGGAACACAACGATGACGAGTGGCAGACGATGTCTTATCTTAACGCAATGTTGCGGTGGCGTATCTGCTTCTACAATGTCGTCTTTGTTGGCCCCTCGGTGTCAAACTTCGCGGCAACAGCTGTTCAAACTACTCTTCTGGAAGTTCCACCACGCGATCCACCTCGGGCAGCGCTGCGCATGATATGGGGCCCGTGGAAGAGGGGGCGCGCAGGTCAGAAGCCAGAACCCTAGCATGTGGAGTAATGTGTTGGAGAACGCCGACGGCCCCCCAACGATCGAAGACGTGAATGGCGAGTCAGACGGCGCGGAGGGCACTGATGGCGCCTCAAGTGTCGGCCACGCTGCCGAGGAGGACTACGACATCATCGACGAGTCTTCTGATGTCGGCGTGGAACCAGGAATCGACGTGCTCGAGGACAACGATGACGGCTTACCAGTGTTCGGGGGAGGGGAAGAAGGTGATCCACCAGGAGGCGCACCTGGCGCTGGACAGGGCGGCGCAGAGGGTGATGGCGGGGCTGGACCCGCTGCCCCGCCGCCGCCGCCGCCGCCAGGGCCGCCGCCAAGGCACCCGCCAGCGCCGCGCTTACCCGTGCCAGCAGAGTTGTCTGTCTCGATTCCTGGCGTTGGCAGGCTCGTTTGGTATCGGAAGAGCAGTGACTTCTATGCGCATTGTTGGCGCCAGGACCACGGAGGCGCTAAGCGCGTTCGCTGCCGCGCCTCAAGGCCAGGAAAAATGGATGGCCAGGGCCGTCCTCTTGGATTTTTTGCACGGATGGTTGTCACAACAGAATGAGCATAGTGATGGCTACAGCCACAAGTCAGAATCGCACCCCTCTCACGAGGACAGAATCGCGGCGAGGCACGAGCTGAGGGTGATTGCAGCTGGCAGCCCTGCCTTGCAAGCTCTCTTTGAGCAGGGGCGGCCTCAGAAGTTGGGTGAGCCCGACGAGCCGCCTATGTTTACTTGATGTTTCACCTCGTATGACATATGCACTGCTGTTCTGTGATATGCTTTTCAGGAGCGTCGATGTTAAATGTTGCCCCCCGTTGCCCCCAAGGCCGCGTCGGTCACAGTACCCGCGCTTCACTCCGGTTCTTCGCGCCCCCTCCTCCCCCCCCCGCGGCAGCGGCGGCGGCGACTAGGAGGAGGGGGGGGGAGGAGGGGGGGGAGAGAACGAGGCCCACGCTCAGTCTCAATCGTACTCAGACCCTCTCACGCAGAACCCACTCATACTTAGATCCACCTGCGCTCCCTCCTCCTCCTCTTCCTGATTCGTTCGGCCCCCTCTCTCGGAGTCGATCGGCCCCCTTCAGCCGTTCGGTCGATCCCTAGTCGTGCGCCCCCCTCCCTCCTGAGTCGTTCGGGCCCCCCCTCCACTTCCTGAGCCGTTCGGGCCTCTGGTCGAATTGCTGCATCATTCTGAGAGCAGCGCATCTCGCGCGGTGTTCCCGCGCGACGTTGCTCCGCTCGGCCGCGCCGCTGCGACGAAGCCAGGCGGCGCGGTGGTCCTCCCGCGTTGCCTGCTGGCCGACACGACAGGCACGCGCGGTCTCCCGCGCGGCTCTCTTGCCCTGGAGGGGCCAGCCCTGGGTCGCAAGGTCCATCGTATGCTTGACGGAATCGCGAAACTTGATGACATGGCCGCTGTCTATCGGGCCCCTGTCGTCACCGACGGTCCGACGCCGTCGCGAGCCCGCGCCAGGTAGGAGTCGAAGAGCTGGCCCTCGGTGACCTTGGCGGCGTGGAGCCAGACGTCGTCGATGCGCGCGAGGCCCACGTCCCCGCGCCGCACCAGGACCTCCTCGTTGGCCACGGCCTGCGGCGGCACCAACTCGTGGAAGTGCGACGACGTTGCGTTGCACATGTACCACGTGTCGCCAGGAAGGCCCACGACGCCGGCCAAGTAGAACCCGAAGATCGTGGCCAGCGCAACTAGGCCTGCATGTCGTCCGCCGTCACATCGTCGAATGCGTCGATGTTCCCAACGTGCCAAAGCGGGGGCGGCTGTCTACGGCGCAGCACCATGACCGGAAATGCCGAGAGGCCCACGAATGCCACCCCCCGTCTGGCGTGGGCCAGATCCTCTTCTGCGCGTCGCCCTTGACGAGCAGCACACAGCGATGCCACTTGTAGTTGACGTCGATTTCGAAACACACCAGGCACCGATTGAACGGCGTGTCTGGTGCCTGCGCTAGACCCTGTATTGCGAAGGTCGCCAGGAAGGTGGCGACCGCGGCCCAGGCTTGCTAGGATAGCCACTCCCGCGCCGGCGTCGTAGGCCGCGGCATCGACCTCGTCGGCGAACGCTCGGGCCGCCGCGCGTGGCCACCCCGGCCGCGAGAATGACAGCAAACCAGAAGGAAGCCTATAGAAGCCCGCGGCCACGCACGAGCGATAGCAGGCACGGCAGGCAGGGCTGGCACGGCTCGGGGATCTTCTGGCCCGGGTCAATCCAGACCCGGGTCAGTGAGGCCTTGCAGGGTCCTGCAGGATCCTTCACCCAAACGGCGTGCCCTGCAGGTGCTCCGGGCCGCAACGCGCCAGCTGCTTCCAGAGGATGGCCACGAGGCCGTCGGAAGCGTCCGAATCCTCGATCGCGCAGCGGCAAATGGACTCCGCGATCGCGCCGCGGACCGCCCATCGGGCCGCCGCGTGTGCCCATTCAGCCATGGACTGACTGCTCACGACAAAAAAGGCTTGGAAGAGGAGGAGGAGAAGGAGGAGGAGGAGGACGAGGAGGAGGTTGAGGGGAGAAAGCTGCGAATGGGACACGATGAAAGGCACAAGCGCTGCGAACAAGTGCAATAAGTATTGGGAGCGTCGGGTGGATTTTCTGGCGCGCTCCGAGGAGCGGCGCTGGAGGCACCACCAAGGATGCCGCCAGGGATGTACAATGGAGACCCAAGAAAACAGCATGGATTTCAACCAGTACGTGCTTAGATTTTTTGCACCTTCGACCTTCGCTACATAGACGACGGGCTCTTTTGGGGACGCCCCCCTCGACAGGAGAGCCCTGAATCGAATCCATAAGTCGGATCGGCGATCGATTCGGATCGGCGGAAGTCGGCAACCACGTCGGGAGAAGTCGAATCGGAGGACATCGGCAAGCCAATAATGTCCCCACTGAGAAACCGGAATCCAAGTCGGAATCCGAAATCGAATCGAATCGGAATCGACCGAAATCGAATCGAGCCGAATTGGAGGAATCGAAATCGTCAACCGCTCCACGCAAGCACGGCGAGACCATGCCATGACGGCGTGCATGCTGGCCCCTGGGGCCGCCAGGAAGCCTTCGAACCAAGGCAGGACGAGCAAGGAGGAGGAGGAAGAGGGGAAGGAGGAGGAGGAGGAGGAGGAGGAGGAGGAGGAGGAGCAGGAGGAGGAGGAGGAGGAGGAAGCGGACGAGGAGGCACAAGAGGAGCAGGATAAGGAGGAGCAGGAGGAGGAGCCCCCACTTCAAATGTGTTTCTCGTCCCGTTGGCCCACAAGCGAGTCAGCAGACCCCTCAGCTTTGTGTGACGTCTGGCGAGGATTCTAGCTCGGGCGACAATCAAATGCCGAACTCCGTTGGGGCCGTATCTATTTCCAGCACGCAAGAAGTTGTAAGTGGCATAAATAAGATCATGAATTCACACTATGGAGTGAAACTCCTCTGGGGTCCTGTGTGGAAGCTGTACGGCAAACATAAGCTGACGTGAAGAGAACGAAAGGAAGCAGGAGGGGAGGGAACGGACGACGAGAGGAAACAGAGGCAGCAACGCGGAGCAAAATAATAATTGGTACACCTGGTCCCCGCCCAAGCTGCAGCAGCCAAAGCGGCAGATGTCCGTCCCTTGCCGAAATCTCCGGGTGGTCGGCCACGCATTGCACACAGTCCGCAGATATGCGATGCCAACAGAGGGGACAAGTTTACTATTTGCAAGGAGACGATGAAGGAAAACACGATCACCGACGGGGGGGGGCCTCAGGCCAGAAATAACGCACACGCCTCAGAAGTACTGGAACCTGGGAAGGGGAACGATGGAGGAGCAGGAGGAGGAGGAGGAGGAGGAGGAGGAGGAGGAGGAGGAGGAGCAGGAGGAGCAGGAGGAGGAGGAGGAGGAGCAGGAGGAGGAGCAGGAGGACGAGGAGGTGGAGGTTGAGGAGGAGGAGGTTGACGAAGCCATACGGCCGAGGAGGGGCTGGGACCGTCGCGGCTTCGCTCGTCGTCGGTCGCCCCTTCGGTCGTGGCTCGCGCGCCGCGGAGCCATCAAAGAGAAGATAAAGAGGCGCCGCAGCCGCGGCGGTCACCCCGACCGCCACGCCCAGGACTAAGGAAAAAGCCTGGCACCGCCGCGCCAGGACCCAAAGAGGACAGGATAGGCTGCTGATCAGACTGGCGGCTGCTGCCAGCAGGCTGGAGCAGCACCACAGCGCGCAGCAGCCCCAGCGCCACCAGCAGCACGCCATGACGCAGAATTGGAAGCAGCATCGCGGCGCCTCGAGGGAAAGGTGGTCAGGAGCAGGGACCACACACCTCGAGGCGTCGCAGCGCGGCCCTGGGAAAAGGTGGACAGGAGCAGGGTCCACAGCCCAGGCGCAGCACCAGCGCAAACGCAGCAGCAGTGCCAGTGACTGGACTGGTGACTACGGAGCCATCGGAGGGCGACCCTGGGAGTGGGCCCTTGGGGATGGCCAGCAGCACAACGCGCAGAGGCGGCAACACAGCCAGCAGCAGCAGCAGCAGCAGCCTCATACCCACAAGCACCACCACCAGACAGCCCACCACCAGCACCAGCAAAAGCACCCACAGCACCAGCAGCGAAGCGACAGCGCCCAGCACTGGAAGCACAGTGCGCCATGGAGGAGCGCCTCAGCCAGAAGGAGGAGCAGCAGGCGCAGAAGGAGGGACCAGCACGACGCTCCAGCCGCAGCCTACATCGGCAGTTTCCAATACAGCCCGCAGCAGAAGGCAGTCCTGGACAGCATCACGCCAGTCTCCTTCGCCGTTGCGATGGAACATGAGAGCTGGTCCGCACCACCAGACGACGAGGAAATGCGGTTCGTGTGGTACAAGACGAAGTGCCACAGGCTGGGACGCCTCTCCGAGAACATTGCTGGCGCTAGGCTGGCGGGTTTGTGCACATCAAGCCTCGAGCAGGAAGCGGCGATCACCGCCACGAACATCTCCTTCGTCTTGCCCCACAAAGAGCGCATGAAGCAGCTCAGGGCTACGCTCGAAAAGCTGGAGGAGGAGCACACCGAGATGGAGAAGCGGCTCAGCAATATGCTCGACCAGGAGGCGGCGGCCGCCAGAACCATCAGGGTCTACAAGACCCTGCTGAAGGAAACTAGAGATCAGATGGCAAAGACAGCGGGTGTGAAGGAGGAATCGTCAGAGGAAAAGGGGAGCCAGGACCCCACCAGAGGACGCGCGCCACACCCGGCCGCGAGGAGGAGGCGCGACCCAGCTGCAGCACTAGCGGCACCAGCCACAGCTCAGCCAGGCATAGCAGCGAGTGCCTCCTCGGGACCAGCAACAACTGCACGATCAGCCCCAGCAGCACCAGACGAGATCAAAGACGCCATCAGGAAAATGACCGAGAGGCTCGACTCGCAGCAGAAAAAGGAACAGCAGCAAAGTGACCTGCTGGCGCAGGCAGAGCTTAAGCACAAAAGCGAGCTGAAGGCCTACGAGCAGACCATGGCGCAAAAGATGATCCACACGACCGAAGCGCAGCTGGCCAAGCAGGAGGAGTGGCACACATGGGAGGTCAACGCGCTCAAGCGACACCACACAGCCAAGCTGGAGGAAAAGGAAGCGAAAGCATACGAGGCACAGAGAGGCAGCCAGAGGACACAGGAGGAAAGGGCCAAAGGGATGCTCGTGGACTTGCAAATGCACCTCGAGTTGGAAAAGAAGACACTACGCGAGGAGATGCACAAGGAAGACCAGAGAAGAGCAGCCATCTACACGCAGCAGGTCCAGAAGGCCAGGCAGGAGGAGCAGGCTGTGATACAGATGGCGGCTCAGGAGGCCCAGTGGTGCAAGATGGCGCAGGAGCACAATGAAAAGGCGACGCGGGAGATGGCGGAGGCGGAATACCAGGAGCGATGCGCCCGGCGCAGCGCTTACAAGGAGGAGGAGCTGCGGATCGCAGTGAACTACCAGCAGATGGCCTACGAGCACCAGGAAGAGGCCAACAGGCGCGAAGCGATGCGGGTCGTCCTGAACCTGGAGCACGCAGCCATCCAGGCGAAGGCATACGAGATGCAGCACGAGCAGGAAAAGTACTTGGAGCGCGTCGGGGAGCACCAGGAGGCGGTGGACAAAGCTCAAAGGATGGAGGAGGTGGCGCTGCAGCGACAAGCAGCAGCCACGAGCGAGCCCCAGGCATTACAGCGCCAGCAGGAGTTGGAGAACCACGTGTCTCAGCAGTACCACAGCACTCTGCAGCACCAGCACCAGCAGGATATGCAGGCCGCGGTGCAGCACTACGCCCACATCCAGTACATGAGCGACGCACAGAGGCAGCAGCAACTACAAGACCTCCAACGCGCACATGATATGCAAACGGCAGGACTCCAGAACGCCCTACGGGACGCCTGGGGAGCAGGAGGACAAGTGGATGAGGACCTGCTACTCGACATGACGGACGACCTCATGGAAGACCCAGTCACGATTGAGCGCGACCAAAGTATGGCGGAGCAGGAGGGCACGTACCAGAGGGAGCAACTGGAGGCAGACCTACTCCGGCTTCTACCTAGCCAGTACGAACTCCCACATCCCGAACTACCGCCGTACCTCGAGGAGCTGGCCGAGGTGGGATTTGGAGAGAGGTCTCATACATCGTCGATGCCAACGCCAGAGGAGCCTACCCTCTCGCCGTTCGGCGACCTCAGTTTTCAGGACCTGAGCTTCGTGCCGAGGCCACCCGCTGAAGAGCGTCCGCTACCACCACCACCACCTCAGCAGCGCCCGCCCATCGAGGAGCACGCCAGCATCGGCCCACTCCTGCATACGGGGCTGCTCGACGTACGGGCGAACAGTGACTGCATCCCAATTGGCGAATCCGACGACGCTGACTTGCAGGACGAAGAGCCGAAGATCTGCCAAGGCCTGCGCGAGGAGAAGGAGGACGAAGCCCCGACAGACCTCGCCTCACCCTCACCAACGCTACCAGCCGACTCACCCATCCCGACAGAACAGCCCACGCCAAGACACATACTCTTCCCACCCGTCACGCCTCTCACGCCAAACAAGACCCCACAACGACGACCACAGCCAGCCAAAACCCCCATGACGACCTTGTTCATCGACCTCAGCCGCGACGAGGAGGCCTGCCCTAGCACACCTCCACGGATGCCGATCGAGAACATCACGCCCACCGTGCCACACGAGCCACGGCTGCCACCTCCGCGATTCCACATGGGCACGCCAGAGAGGACGAGCTCAGCACCACCTTGCAGAGGCAACCTGAAGCAGCCAAGAGACCCCAGGAGGGCGAGCAGCCAGCCGAAAAAGGTCAGGATCTGCGACGCGGACGATGGCTTCGCGGACCCAGGCGACAGGGTGGCATCCTTCATCGAGAGCGGCGAGAGCGACCTCGACGGGGGTCGACTGTCAAAAAACTGAGAGGGAGTACGCAGGCTGGGGGGCAACTGGCCCAGACCTGCGTCCAGCCAGCCAC